ATGCCTTAGCGGATGGCACACCATAAATATCTGCCAAGAGTTTGGCACGAACTAGTCCACTCAGGAATTAACTCCAGTTATAGAATCGCTAGATTTTCGTCGTCTTTTTGCAAACGCATTATGTTTATTATGCATAAATAAATAATAATCATTCGCATTACGCCTATCATGCCTTTCATCCTTCTGTGCCTACAAATGCGCAACGTTTTATTCAACTCACAGTTATGACGCGTTTGCATATCATTTGATATAGGAGGGCTGCAGTACATGTTGTTTTCTTGCAGTGTTTCTGATAATACAATTTTAACCATGCATCTCATTTTTGATGCTTGCAATTGGAGCGCTTTCGTCGTCAATCGAAGTTTCGCACTTTGTTAGAATCCCTATTTTATCTTGGTGCACTTTCTTTTCCGTTATCTTATCTGACATCAAAGTCTCAGTATGATTACAAGTTATCTCGTGAATATCCTCTATACAGGGCATTCTAAGAGAGGTCAACCTACGTGTCATCCACTCTCAATGGAGCTGGGCATTCTACTGTTTCTATTTTGAGACCATAGTGGTGAATTTGCAGACACTGCGGACATGTTTGGATACCTTCTCATATCCACTAGGAACGATGTCGTGTTCTTCGGAGGAAACGAGGAGTTCAATGACTATTTGCATAGGCGTCTTCGCCCAGAGATATTCTTTTCCTCGAACACTCCGTCGACCTCCAGCGGAGTCTACACGAGTTCCTCCACCGAATCCCTGTCGTCTGACGAAAGTCCAAGAAGGAAAATGTTGCGCGATGCAAGGCCTGACTTGCCGCTCACCAAACAAGAAGTTACACATCTTTTTCTCCCCATCATATCTACATACAGATCCAAGAAAGTTGTACACTCTGATGAGATCTTCTCCATGATCTCTGACGAAATCGTTGTGCTCTTCAAACAGCTCAGATGCAACTATTTACTGGCTTCCATTGGAAAGAGGTAAGTATCTAGTAGCAACAGGTAGACCCCTTGAATGCTGGGCAGTGCTGCCGTTCCAACAACTCCACATTACAGCGAAAGGCTACAACAGCAGTTTTTGGAATATGTAGAACTCGGACTGCAAGTGAGTGCCGGGCCTCTTCTAGGATTGCTCGATACCGACCCATCCTCGGTGGAGATGGGGTGGAATTTTCTGAAGTCCCTTGCTGACAATGCATGGCATAGTGACTGCCATAAAGTGAAAGGTGCGAAGTTTACCTTGAAGTTTTGTGCATCTTTGAAGCCGCACCACAGAATGTTGCTATAGGCCGTTCATAACTACAATTTTACGTATCAACTTTACCTCACAAACAAAAGATCAGAATCATAAATTTCATAATCATTCAACCTTGAATTTCAGTTCACATCGATGTTCGCAAAGCTATATTCCTAAAGTCCAAGCTTGATATCACTCTTCCGTTATTGAATGCTATATCACTACATCTTCAAGATACTCTCGGAAGCAACAGGTTTCTATTGCTCATATTTCAACAGCTAACGAAAGGAGGATACGGGCGACCGTGGCATTTTATGACAAGGCATCTTTTTGTAGGGAGCTATAGGCGTTCCCTCCCCC